CATGGACATAGGCGGTGTCTCTCCACCAGAACCAGCAAGCTCTGTAGCGCGCGGCTGTCTGTTCTTATTCCGGGAGAGTAACCAAGCGATGATGCCCAGAAGCGCGAGCCCGACGACGCCACCGACTACACCGCCCGCGATAGCGCCCACGTTGCTCTTCGACGAGCTTGTGGCAGTACTTGTAGTCGATGGAGACGGCGAAGAAGACCTGTAGAAGCGTCAGTTTGATTGACGCGTCTTATATTGAGACAGGCATACGAGGTGGAGTTCGCGGGGACGGGAGCCATGCTGATAGCCGAATTGAACACGTTGATGGCCGCGGACTGATCGCCCGGACTCAGCTGTTGGTACGCGGGACCCGTCCATGCTGGCCCGAAGGTGTAGTTCGCGGGATTGCCCGAGAGCTTCTGTATAGCGTTATACTGTAAAGGATGTCAGAACCAGATCACGTACAGGAGGTGCAACATCCGTACCTGAACGTTCATATACGCCTCGATATAGCCGGCCAGTGCAGAGTTTTGAGCGCCACGCCACTGCCATACTGCCTGTAGGGAGCGCATGAAAACACCTGTCGTTGAACGTTAAGCGTCGAGTGGAGGGCTGCGTGGGCTCAGTGGACGTACCTTTCGCGCCTGGTCCGAGGGTGTACGGCGACGCCGACTGGTTCGTCGGAGGACCATCGCCTACAAGCCGAGTATCAGATCCTCGCGAGAAAGCATGGTTGAGCTAGTTGCTTCTTACCTTCCCACTCGATACCGTTTGACGTGGTAAATGCGGGGTTCGAAATGACTGTGGCGGCAAGGGACTGAATGCTAGTATTGATATTGTCAATAGCCGATTGAATGCATGGGATACGGGCACTTACAACGGGTCCCACTGAGTCTTCCCTGACACATTTGCGTAGACACTGATGCCTTCGAGCACAAGACCAGAGTGGATGGTGGCGACATTCGTAGGGTCGGTGTACGAGCACGACGAGACGTTAAACTTGTCCATGACCAGGGTTCCATTATAAAGGATGCTCTGAACGAAGGCGATAGAGGTCTCCACGGTATTGCGGTAGTCCAAGTCGCTGGTCACGCTGTACAGGTATGCAGACAGGCTAGTCGAAACGTGTCAATTGGCGCTACGCAACATAGTGACGGGGTCAATAAACTTACGCCATGAACCCCCTAAACGAATTCGGCGTTAGTTGAGAGGGTGCGCTTTCGGAAAGGGACGGAGTGGGCACTCACCCAACCGTTTCGCCGGTGATCAGAGGGTCTGTAGGGTTGGAGTGAATCCAGAAGACACCACCTGCAGTAGTTGCTGCGGTAGAAGATGAGTCGGGTGGACATGCGGCAGTACGCCACTGCACATACAGCCATTGCAGGTCTTCGGAATGGGGAAGGGCGAGTTCGCAGTGCGCTCGACCTGCTGGCCGTTTTGCGCGTCGTCGGTCGTAATAAAGTTCTGATTCACTTGCTGCCAAGCGCCTTTAGCCGTTTGTAGAAACAAGTCCTGTTTGTATGCACGATATGCGTGGATGGCCGCAAGACCCCAGTATCTGCAACCCAATCAGACATGCTGTCACACGTATTCAAAACCATAACACTGACATGTATTCGGTCGTGTAACCCTACGCGTAGATCAATCAGAACGCGGAGCTGAGTCGGGGTTAGGATAGAACGTACCCTACGATGAGTACGGAGTCAGGTCAGCGGGGAACGATAGCTGAAGAAGTCTGGCGTACTGGGTATAGAATCCGCTATTGTGCGCCGAGACCCATTTGTTCATGGAATCGGTCACAACATCCAAGTTCTTCGTTGTATTGGCGAAAAGGTCGTTGAGAGCGAGTACGCAGATGAAGTTGGATTGTTGGAGGTTGGTGAGAGCTGGGATGCGTATCATCAGCCATCTATACTTGGGACCTATATCGAGGGCGAAATCGCACCGTCAATCTGCCCGGACGTGGAGTTGATGATGGAAGTAAGGACAGCGATGGAGTTGGTAGCAAGGGCTTCGCGTTCAGTCCTGTTGAGGCTCGTGGTGGGGTCCTGTAGGGCAGAACTGAGATGAATGACTGCAGGCAGTAGCTCATTACACACCTGCCAAGCATTGGGAACGCTGAGATCCTGCGCAAAGGATGGAAGGGCAGAATAAACAAGAAAAAGGACAAAGGATAGATATTGTGAAAGAAGCATGGCGAGCAGGCGGAGGGCTGCGCGACACTGGAGCGCGTCGCGCAGGTACGGGCATCTTATTTATGCTGCCCTGACGATGAGCGCTTCCTGTACGAGCGTAGCGGCTTCGACGCGGGCGGTCATCACGGCACGGTCAATCCGGATATCTGATGGTCATTGCATGGCACAGATCCAGCGTAATAGAGGCTGAACACCGCAAGATTCCGGGGGCGCGTAGGAACTGAACATATGAGCTGTACAGCCCCGGAAGAAGGTTAGCTCTTACGTCTCAATCATCCTGCAATCAACGGACACAACACCGTTTTCAACTTTGAATGTCGTTTGGCGTTCAGATCGACGACGATACATGACGTCGCTGTCGTTAGCTTGTGCTTGACAGGGCGACGGAAGAAGAGCAAGCGTAACTATTGGGCATAGTCCTCGAGGTGCCTCGGCGACTATACTGAGCCGAGTCTTTCAATGAACGCCCGTCTAGCGTGCGCATCTTCACATGTAGCCAGGACACGCCGCATGAAGAAGATCCCATTCAAAGTGTGGGCCCGCGTTATTTCCCGTGGTGGCCGTCGTGGACAAGGCGCACGCCGCGGCGGTTCTTGTCTGACGCCTCCATCAGCTCGGTCACTTCTCCATCATTGTCTGCGTGAGCGCATATCCCGCGCGACTTCATAGCCCTCATACCAAGGGAAAAGCGCTGGATGGACTACTACGCGTTGCTCGATCTTCCCCGCTCGACAGCACTTACTCCTACTGCAATTAAATCTGCGTACCACGCTGCTCTCCTGCGCCACCATCCCGACAAACAAAGGTCATCGACGGAACGTAGCCACGACATAGATCTGCTTCGCGTGGCATATCAGACGCTGTCTGACCCAGCTCTACGGATTCCTTACGACCAATCACTCTCGGCCTCGAAGTCCCATGCTGCAAATCAACGCCCAGCCGATTTCGTATCCTTAGATGACTTCGAGGAGCTCGAGGACGCGTGGACCCTCCCATGCCGCTGCAGCGGTACATTTCGCATAGTGGAGGCTCAGCTTGAAGCCGGTGTGCACATTGTGGGGTGCAATAGTTGCTCAGAGGTGGTCTGGGTAGGGTACGAGGCAGTCGAGAGCGGTTGATAGAGCAGATTCTCGAAGTACGTATGGACGTTGCCTCCATAATACAGCATATTGATGTACACAGCACAGGTTGACAAGCTCACAGAGCGTTCTTGCCGCTCTCATACTACGCCGAGCTTATCCCGCCGTCGTTACGTCGATGGATCTCACCGGTCATTCTGGCCGCGGTGTAACGGTCATCGCCAACCATCATTTTGGGCGCTGTGTGGGTAGACCTCGCAAATCATCCTACAACGATTTCTTGCTGACGGCACAAACGTGATCGCAGATCCTCCCAGACCTAGTCCGACTTCTTCCATTCCAGGGCCGTATACATAATCGATCTTCTGTACGGTGGAAAGATCGGATATCAAAGGATGGTATCTGAGCGCAAATGTGTGACTTAGGCTAGTCACTTGTGCGTAGCTGATGAATATACGTTGAGCGACCGTCATCGCCATACGCAAGCACACGACAACTTCAGCGTTTGTCCCTCGCGATTCAGACCTGGAAACCCCAACTCAGCGCTTAGGTCTCGACGTACCCTATGGGCTACATAGTACAGCTTGTGTCCCTCTGAGGCGGGTGCGGAAAGCAAAAGGCCACGGCCGTACGCTTGGGCGACGTCGACAAATGGAGCAAGGCATAGCAACTCGGTGTACAAACGAAAGCCCAGCTCTTACACTGTCCCCGCAGTAAACCCGATTCGGTGACGCACGGGGCGGTCCATCTGGTCCGATGGCTATAGACCTTGTCGTAGAGACTGCATACGCCTTCATAGGGCGTGCAGGGCCAGGCGATGGCAGGCGATGGCGCCAGTGGCCAAAAATACGCTTCACTGGTTTTGGCACGTTAGGAACGGATCCCATCGCCCTCATCGCATTGGCCTCGCTACCTTGGAAGCATTGATGAATGCATCGTAAGACGTGAGATCAACGTAGAGTGCTGATAGGGTCACGGGCGTCGGAGCCCGCGGGACTGAGTGGCTGGCGTTGTCACATCTCGCCCTCTGGATGCTATCAACTAGACATCGCAGGCATGATTATACCCCTAACGCCTCGTATCACGAGTATGCAAGCCGAAATTATGGCAGGAAGTTTCGAGCAGAAACGTTCGTGCTATCATCTGCGCTCTACCTCACTGATCCGCACACTAGCCCTCTGGGGATGCTGCCACAGTTGAGCGAGAACATCTTCAGATGTCGGGAGAAGCTGCAGTACGTTCGGACTGCTGACGGTAACACTATGCAATACTATGCAAGTTTGGGACTGGGTAATGTGTCTAAGCGGCTTGGTTCGCACAGCGGCGTGACTCGCCGAGCGCGATAGCCCACGCGCCAATGGTGGTTTAAGACCTCGAGATTTGCGGTATGTCGATCGTGACTGTGACAGGTTAATCCGAACACATGATCAACTACTTCTGAGTTGGCGGAGAGGGTGCGCTGCTCGTCGCTGAAACGCTGAAGATCACGATTGCGTGGAGTCTTGAGCAGAAGGGCTGAGAGCTAAGCGCTAATGCATGAGTTATAGTAAAGATTACGCATACGATATTTTAGAGCCTGGCACGCCGGTACCTAGAACACTTCTATCTGATCGTTCGATTTAGTAGTGAACCACGACAGAATTTGACCTCGTTCTGAGAGAACTTCTCCCGAGCCCGCCATCATGCATAACGGGCGCAATATCGCGGAGATTTTTGTGCCGGTGCGATCGCTAGACCCTACTCTAGGCTGTCCCTCCAAGTAGCAGTAGTCTCCTATGACTTTGTTTGCCGTAGTGAAAAAATGAATAGACCTGGATGTATAAACATGGTGGGGACCAGCCTGGACCTGCGTGCTTGCAGGCAGCTGCCGGGTCCATCAAACGCGCTCACGTGCCTTTTCTACACGCGCGGTTTGTCCAGAACGCGCTCCGCGACCTCTTCGTGGACACGAGGACATCTACACGAACGTGGATGCCCAAAACTACATGTATCCTAGGTTCTCTTCTTTCCATGCACTCTTAACCGCACTTTACGCCAAATTTTCTCGTACTACCCGTGATGGCATGCTGTACCACTGGAGCATAAACTGGTGGAACGCAAAGCATGAACAGCGCGCACGCCGTAATTACACTCTGCAGCCGCACAAGCTCAATTAAGACGAGGACTCAAGTCATGTCGGATGTGATCGCCATCAGACGGGAATTCTCTGACGATCTGCAGTCAAACCACAGGACGGCAGGGCCAGCCGATTTGGCCCGACGCGCAAGATCTGAGCATCGCACCAACAAGCGAGGCAGATGACCTGATTACATGAGCATAATAGAGAAGCTAGCAACTGATGGCCAACCCCGATAACGATGAAAGGGGCGCAAATCCCTTTGGCCCTTTGTGGGCCGCATGCTACACGTGTTGTAGGCTCCCGTCATATATTAGTCCGTATCATTTCGCATAACCCAGCTCTAGTCTGCCCCCCGTCCTCTCCCGCCCTCTCATTCACATTGCCCACGCTATACGCTGACATGAGCGACACTTTCAACTACGATCCCACTTGGCTGTCGAGAAGGATGCCAGGACGGCGGTCGAGGATACTCGTCAACATGACGCCCGTGATCGCACCGCCAGTGAATGTATGTCATTGTTCTCAGCGCCTGCTCTACCGTAGACACAGTGCTGATGCCATGTCGCCAGACGAACGCGATTGGTGCTCTTACTACTCATAACAGTACCATGAACGCTTACGTGCGTATAACATTTTGAGAATGGGGGTAATCATACAACTAAGCGTCTCTACAGTGGCAGAGGCTCCTGCTATTCTTCTTCCTCGCAACGCAGCCTCCTCCCTCGGACCAACAGGCCGCACAGTCCCTCGCAGACAGCCTATTGCACCGCCCTTCGAGTGACTATGTAGCGCCGCCCCGTGTCATGCCGCCCATGCCACCTCGCTACCTTGGGTCCTGCCACTGGGAGGTCCAGCTCGAAAACGGCAGCACGTTTGTCGTCCGGGTGCCGGAAGGCCTGAATGAGGGCAGCGAATGGTTCCTCCATCTTTCCGATCGCTCGATACAACGCATTCGCATTCCGCCCGAATCGAAGTCTTCGTCGTCTAGTCAGGCAACGTCGTCGTCGGCGACTCCGTCATCGGAGACCTCGCCTAGCTCCACTCCGTCGACTGTCCCTTCCACTCCTGCGACCGGTGGCGTGCAGGAGGCACCTGTGGGTACGACCAACGCGAACGCCACGGGTGATGCGGGAACTCCGATTCCTCCTACGAGCGTTTCCACGGACGAGGCGCCCACGACGCATTCTTCCCCGACCACTGGGCCTTCCATGGCCTCGAGCGCTCCCGCTTCGCCAAGCGCTCCTGCGATGCCAACGGTCGCGGTTGCTCAGGCCGCGCCCATCCAGCTGAACGAGGACATCGTAATGACTGGCGACCCCATCCCCGGTCCTCCCTCTCTCTCTGATTCCCATGCCGGCGCACGGTCGGCATTAGGTGCGTTCTCTACTCACCGAGCGGCCGACGCCGATGCTCATCTTTGCCCATCAGCTCCTCGCCGTAACCGCAACCACGCTAGGATGAACGTGCGCCATGCGCCGTACACCATCACCGAAAGACCTCAGGCTGCCGCTCCGCGCGCAGACCTGACGGCTAACAGCAACATATCAACCGGCGCCGCCCTCATGGGAGGTGCCCTCGCGAGCGGCGCAGGCGGACTAGCGCCGTCGCACGTCAGTGCAGCGCCGGTCGCCGCCAGTCTCGTCGACTTGAGCGCCTACGAACATTTCCCGCCGTGCCCCGTCCTCCGCCAGCACATGCCCTACCTCTACCAGGTCCCGCCGGCGCCTGCGGGCATGCATGTGTGCATGGAGACGCGCTTCTGCAAGCCGAAGAGGAAGCCCAGCGGTTATTATTACGGCCAGCCTTGTTTCGCTTCGAGTCAGAGTCTTGACCGCCACATCAACTCGGTCGCCCATCGCGGAGTTAAGGTCCCGTGCCCCCACTGCGGGATGCCGATGGCGCGCACGGACACTAAGCACGCCAGAACGTGCACGGGTCCCAAGAAGGGTCCGGGCAATGGTGGCGCGGGCGGTGCGTCGGGCTCGGGATCCTCGCAGGCGGGCCCGTCTCGCCTCGCCGCCTGATTCGTCATGCACATGTGCAGATGAACAATGTTCCCTATGACTGTATGGACTGGATGAGTCATGAAGAGCCTATACACGAATTGGCTCACCTTTTGTATCCTGATATGTATCTCTCTACACCAAACGAATATAAGCTTCTGTTTCCTACACCGAAGTTGGATGAGTGTGCTATCGTAGGTAGATCGATGGGGGCGAATGTGACGAGGTGTTCGTGAACATGTCATGCGCGATTGAGTGTGGGCGGTGCATGCAACAGCAGTCGACCAGATCTACGACGGCGGAGGTTCGCAGAGGTTCGCAGGACACATAATCCACATGTTGATACAGGAGGACTAAGACCATGCCGAGGCTGATCGAGCGACTCATAGCTGTCAGAGGTCGGGATCTCGAGGAGAGGCGAGCGACATCGGTAGCGTGGAAAACTGTGGTAGAATTGAAGAAGAGAGCAGGAGGCAACAAGGTGCGTGTACCGTTGACTGCCCTGCAGAGACCCCGCCATTGTCTCACCAGTCGTACAGCAGGACTCCCAGTTCCCAAACTGGGACTAGCGGCGCCACACAAACCGTGTCGATATATCGCAGTGTGCTACATTGCATTTCAAATTTACTACGTGGTTAAAGCGGTTGACCAGTTTTTGTGTGGAACGGTTTTTGCCGCCGCGCGGCGCGATCACCCCACTTGTTGATCATTCGCGTGAGGCGTGCTATTGAATATGCATCGCTGAGAGGTATCTTGGCTATCGACGTTACAGAAAGCATCTACAGCTACTCTAACATCCCACCGCTCGAACTGCGATGATCTCTTGAACGTTCGATCGGCGACAAACTCCTTGTTCCCTCTCCTGTCCGTCATCGATCACCACGAAGCATGCAGGCATGAGCAGGACTATGTGCAAGACCTCAGCCGGTACGCGGAGTACTGGCACGGGAAGTTCGTTAAGACGGTATGCAAGCTCTGCCGATAGTTATCTCGTTGCAGTCCATTCCGATGCAATCCGCTCTTGAAGTGATGCGCATTCCATTGACACGCTCGACGTGGTACCGAATATATGCCTATCGTCCTCTGGTAGATGGCTTGACGCAATGGCATCCTGTCATTTGACTCTGGCGCTAGCAAGGCGACGTTAATGCACCATCATATTCAGAGTCACAGCAGTACTTACAAGGTCGCGCCGTCGCTGTGGCGTGCCGATCCGCTGCTCATGATGGTCGCTCGACGAAGAACATGCTCCCGAGCCCCCGGCCAAGAGCAAGACAGGACACGCGTGCGCGGCAACTGCCGTTCCATCACCAGGGAGCAAAGTAAAATGGTGGTGCTATTGTGGTCTGTTCGCGTAGCACGCGTGTAGATATGACTTCGCAGTACCGTGCACAAGTCACCTGGGTGCGGCGCAAAATCAGAACATCATCGAATTATGCATTAAGGGGGAATCGAACCCCCGGCGGGTCGATGGCAACGACCCAGGTTACCACTACCCCATTAATGCTTGTGCATTTACGCTTATACAACGTCACATAGTAGTTTATGCAGGCGGTGCCTCAACGCGCGTGAGCTTGTTGAATTGTAACACTTGGCTTCGGCGTTAACGACGACGTGCAAAGGGGTTTCGGACGCGATGAACGAGTACGTGCGGGCGGCGGCACGCGTACACGCCGGACTGCTTGCCTTGCAAGCTGTACCGGATACACTACGAGCGTCATACAGCGACGAGTTCACACGGGAGTTGGTACGTTTCCCCTCAGACGCGCCTGGTTCGCGCTCATGTCTCTGCGCAGTACAATGCACGGACTATTCGCAAGAAACACGGCCTCCCCCGGATGCGATACATCTCCGAACTTACGAAGATGATTGCGGAGCGGTGTAAACCGCCTGGGGCGTATGGCCTACTACCCGCGGCGTTTGCGAGGGAGGTCGGGAAGGTCGCGCTTGAGCCAGATGTTCGGTACGAGGGAGAGCTGGGGGAGTTTCAATGGTGGACAGAATTACAAACACATCAATGGTATATTGAACTCGGTATGGCAAAGCACTTCAAATCTATGTCGTGTGGCTGAACATAACTCGTAGACGCGATGAACACCGCGAGCGATAGCGAGGCAGAGGACGACGAACTCAACACTCCCCCTTCCTCTTCACCCACCGACAAGCTGCACATAGTCGACCCCGAGGCCGGAAGCTGCCGACTACGCCCTGTGGACTTGACTGCGCCTGAGGAGGAGGAGCCCAAGCAGGCGCCTGAGCCGAACCTGTATCCCCTCCGCCTTGCATCCCCTGAACGCGAGGAGGATGAGGACGAAGTTATGGAGACTGAAGCGCCGGCCGAGGCGCCCAAAGAGGATGCTGCGCCACGAGAGCTGTTGCCGCCAGTACAACTGTCGACGCCGCCACTTATCGTATCAAAACTGGACGATGAAGACGAGGATCTGCTGCTAATATTTCCTGAAGATGACTCTGCACCGGTGTCTTGTGCTCCCTCTCGCATCCGTACGCCTCAACTGCCGACGCCACCGCCCAGCAGCGCAGCCTCTTTCGGCAATACGACTTCACCCTCTCCGCAACCGACCCACAAAGAGCCCGAGTCAGTCACTGCGCCCTCACATGCACCTTCGCATACATCTGTGTCAACACCCGGTTCTCCCATACCCGTACCGTCACGGGGTGCATCACCCGTCATGTCCGACATGGCACTCGAAACGCCGCCCGACTCTCCGCCTGCTCCGGTCACCACTACCCCATCCACGCCTGCACGCTGTCGCAAACGCAGCGCATCGGTTGCAGGACTTGACAACGATGCGAACGAGAAGCAGAAGACCCTCAAACTGGAGGCCATGGAATCTGTTCTTGGCCCGCTGCCCCAGTCGCCCGCCAAACCTTCTTCTAGCAGCAGCGTCGGCCGCCGCGTGACTCTGACAGCCTCCATTCCTTCGCCCTCGTCTGCACCCGTGCCCGCACCTGCGCCAACAGCTGTAGTTGCCACTGCGCCCAAAGCCCAGACACCAGTTGTACCTGCAGCCACTCTGCCGACCACACCCTTAGCTGCAGTACCGACCACGCCGTCGAAGCCGACCTCGTTACCGCAGAAGCCGGCACCAACGCCCCCCGTACCGGTATATTATGCGCAAACTTCTTCTTCGCCTCCATCGGCAGTCGCCGGTCCATCACGGTTGCCCGCGAACATTCCCGCCCGCCCGCAACCGCAGGTTCCCGTATACCGGTCACCCGAGTTGCCTCAACGCCCCGAATTCATACCTGGGCCAGGTGCGGCAAGCCATCAGCTTCCGCAACGAGTGGCGTCTTCCAGCAGTTCTGTTCCTGTGCAGAATGCCTCGGAGGGCGCTCTACCGGTACCGGTACACCCTGCGCCCAGCACTTCGTCACAACCGCCTGCTGCGAGCACAAGCGCCAGTGCTTCGCCCGCATCATCGAATAAACCTCCATCGCCTACAATTATAGACTTATCCGAGGATGCACCCGTACGCGACTTCGGCGGCACCGAGCCGCCCAAACTCGGCAAACGCGCACGCAAGACTCTTCGGAAGCGGAAAGCGGAAGAGGAGGCGGTTCAACAGCAGCAGGATGTCACGCGACAGACGATGTTGGATCTGAGCGCTGCAATCGCGGCTGCGAGCATTCGCAAGGGATATACGTCGAGTCTTCTGGGAGGGAATGGCGGCCCGCCCATGTTCGTGACGGCAGTGACAAGCCTAGGTGCCGCGACGAGTACAGCTGGCTCTGCTGAGGCGAGTTCGGATGCGCCGAAGGTCGCTGCAAATACGCCTACCGGCACGGCTACGAGCTCGGTGAAGTCTGTTGGAGGAGAGGCAGAGGTTGTCAAGAAGACTATGGTCTTACCGCCAAAGGCGCTTCCTACGGGCCCGAAAGCAGATATACGGTTGCCTACCGGGCCGAAAGCGCATGCGGCGCTGCCTACGGGACCGAGGGCGGGTGTGGCGCCGGCGCCCTTCGTCATGGCGTCGTCTGTGACAGGGAAGCCAATTCCTACTGGACCCAAGGCGGCGGCAATACCTACAGGACCCAAGGTGGCTGCAACTCCTACAGGACCCAAGGCGGTAGTACCGACCACTCCATCCAAGTCAGCTACGCCACCCACAGGACCCAGGCCAACTGCGATGTCCTCTTCACCAGCGTCAGCGCCACCTATGCAGCGCAGAGTCATCTTGAAGCTTCCTGAGACCCCCAAACCGTCACCTACCAAACCGCCATCTACAGCTTCATCTACAGCTTCGACGCCACCTACGCAGCGCAAGATCATCTTGAAGATTCCTGCTACAAGCAATGCCAACTCACCTTCGGTTGCGCCGGCGGCCAAACCAGCACCAGTACCTGCAGCTAAGCCCGTGCCCGCGCCGGCACCGGCAACACCTGTGTATACCGCGCCCGGGCCAGAGAACCTCGACCCGGACGTATCAATGGACTTGTTCGGCTCAGCTTCTACCCCGAAAGATGCATATCGCCGTGCTTCCTTCTCGTCAGACGCTCACCGCCCGCCTTCTCCTCCGCGCAAGTTATCGTACAACAGGCCGGAGGGCTCGACTTTCAGCACTCGACAGGGCGACTTTTATAGGCCCGATGAGAGTTCATCGGCGTCGGGGTCAGGGAGGCAGGGCGATTCGTATCGGCCTGATGAAGGCGGATCGGCGTCAGGATATGGAAGACAAGGAGACTCGTATCGACCTGCCGCATCGTCGTCTTCGAACGGTTGGACAGGCGACTCGTACAGGCCTGATGAGGGCGGAGACGCGTACCGCCCTGCTGCGTCCTCATCGGGAGGTGTACCAGTATACAGTGCTACAGCATCCTCCTCCAGTGTGCCATCACCTCTTCCGCTGCAGAGACCAACCAAAGCGATCGACAAGCCGGTCTGCATGGCAGACGTCCAGCACTTGTCCTGCAGGCTCCCCCTTACGCCTCGCGCGCTCATAGCCCACATGGCGCGCGCACACGGCTGGGACGCTCTGCGCTCACACGCCGCAGCTGATTATATTTGCGCGGGCGGAGGACCGGGCGGGATGGGTGTTGAGCGGGAAGAGTTCGAGAAGAGGGTATGGGACGTTGTGGATGGACGGGTTGACCTGAGCGAGGAGGGCAGGAGGAGGAAGGCGCAGGGTGATAGTTGGAGACCGGCGGTTGCGGCGCATCCGACGCCTGCGTATATGACGTCGGGAGATTCGTACAGACCTGGCGATCTCGCGGTCGTGGATGATGGGCCGCCAGTGTGTATGGCCGATGCGCGGGACAGGTTGCCCGAGTGCGCACGGTTGCCGCCCGGCGCTGGTACAGTCTGGGCACACATGACGCGCGCGCACGGGTGGAGCGCACTCACCAAGCCCGGCGCGCGGGAGTTCATATGCAATAACGCGCCGAAGCGGAAGGAGTTCGAGAGGCGAGTATGGGATGTGATCGACGAGAAGGTCGATCTGGGTCCTGCGGAGGTGGTCGTGAAGCGGGAGAGGATAGAGAGCGTCTTTCTGGGAGGAGAGGACGAGGGGCCGGTGTGTATGGCCGATCCGAGCGATCGACGCGATACGTGCTCGCAATACATGACGCCGCGCGAAGTGTGGGCGCATATGCTTTCTGCGCACCGCTGGGACGCGTTGAGGCCGCCGGCCGTGGCGGAGTATGTGTGCGGCGGGGATACCACGCATTCATGGGTCAGCAGGGGTCTTTTCGAGAGCAGGGTCAGGGAGGTTATGAACGGATATGTGGTTCGGCCGAGTAATGGCTCGGTGAGGAGAGGGAGGGACAGGCTCGGTAGGCAGGGAGGTCATGGGCTGATGGCGGAGAGTATGGGCGGTGCAGGTTATGATTATTGAGTTTGAGCCTGGGTTGGACGACGTTCGCTGTTTTCTTTCTTTTCGGTCTGGATTTGCTATGTGTATGTTTTAGTTCGTCGCTTGCGTTTGCAGTATACCTTCCTTTTGACTTGTTGCCGTACCTAGCCGCTGATATATGCATGTTGTCTGCTCACAAGCGCTGGAAGCGCCAGGATATCGAAAGGCATGTGATCGCGTTCGTGGGAAGTGCCTAATACGTGATAGCAAGCGCGTTTGCCTTGCAAGTTCAGACGCTTCGGGACGCTTCAGAGTCCCTCAGACGCCGTTAGACCGCTTCCCGAAAGCCTTGTACTGAGTACCACCGTTCCTCTGTCATGGTAGCATATGTAATTGATAGCTCGTTCCTGATTGAATGGGTCCTCGATGCGCGCTCGTTAAGACACTACATCTCGACGCCATACTTATGCCACAAAAGACGCGACGCGTCCGAAAACCGCAAGTGGAGTGATCGCGTTGCACGGTGGCAGTCAGCGACCTTGCATCCTGCTCTCTTCTTCCTTTATGTTACAATCTCTCGCATCACTGATGTCGCTCCCTACCCCCCGAGATCCCTACCTCCACCAGCAGCGAGTCTTCCGATCAGTTTCAACATGTTTCTAGTTCTCCCGTACCCGCAGGACTTCGCAACGATCGTAGATCTGGTCGAAGGATGCCGCGTGCGCCGCACACACTCGCTATATCGCATATTTGTACGACCATTCTTCAACGATCGGCTCGTCACCCTTTCTGCGATAGCAAACTCATCCAACGTCGGTGTAGGAAACAGAAGTGTATATCCGTTTGGTGTAGAGAGATGCATATCAGGATACAAAAGGTGAGCCAATTCGTGTATAGGCTCTTCATGATGCATTCAGTCCATACAGTCATAGGAAACATTGTTCATCTGCGCATCTGCATGACGAATCAGGCGGCGAGGCGAGACGGGCCCGCCTGCGAAGATCCCGAGCCCGACGCGCCGCCCGCGCTACCATTGCCCGGACCCTGCTTCGGACCTGTGCACGTTCTGGCGTGCTTAGTGTCCCTGCGCGCCATCGGCATCCCGCAGTGGGGGCACAGGACCTTAACTCCGCGATGGGCGTTGGTGTGGCGTTGAAGACTCTGACTCGAAGCGAAGCAGGGCTGGCCGTAATGATAACCGCTGGGTTTCTTCTTCGGCTTGCAGAAGCGCGCCTCCATGCACACATGCATGCCCGCAGGCGCCGGCGGGACCTGGTCGAGGTCAGGCATGTGCTGGCGGAGGACCGCGCACGGCGGGAAATGTTCGTAGGCGCTCAAGTCGACGAGACTTGCGGCGACCGGCGCTGCACTGATGTGCGACGGCACTAGTCCGCCTGCGCCGCTCGCGAGGGCACCTCCCATGAGGGCGGCGCCGGTTGATATTGTGTTGTTTGCACTCAGGTCTGCGCGCGGAGCGGCAGCCCGAGGTCTTCCGGTGGGGTACGGTGCATGGCGCACGTTCACCCTAGCTTGGTTGCGGTTACGGCGAGGAGCTGATGGGCAAAGGTGAGTGTCGGCGTCGGCCGCCTGATGAGTAGAGAACGCACCTGATGACTGCCGTGTAACGGTGTGATCAGAGAGAGAGAGAGGCCCGGGGATGTGGGTGTCAGTCATGACGATGTCCTCGTTCAGCTGGATGGGCGCGGCCTGAGCAAGCGCGACCGTTGGCATCGCAGGAGCGCTTGGCGAAGCGGGAGCGCTCGAGGCCATGGAAGGCGCAGTGGCCGGGGAAGAATGCATCGTGAGCGCCTCGTCCGTGGAAACGCCCGTCGGAGGAATCGGAGTACCCACATCACCCGTGGCGTTCGTGTTGGTCGTACTCACAGGTGCCTCCTGAACGCCACCAGTCGCAGGAGTGGAAGGGATAGTCGACGGAGTGGAGCTAGGCGAGGTTTCCGATGACGGAGTCGTCGACGACGACGAGGCCTCACTCGACGACGAAGGCTTCGATTCGGGCGGAATGCGAATGCGTTGTATCGAGCGATCGGAAAGATGGAGGAACCATTCGCTGCCCTCATTCAGGCCTTCCGGCACCCGGACGACAAACGTGCTGCCGTTTTCGAGCTGGACCTCCCAGTGGCAGGACCCAAGGTAGCGAGGTGGCATGGGCGGCATGACACGGGGCGGTGCTACGCAGTCACTGGACGGGCGGCGCAACAGGCTGTCGGCGAGGGACTGTGCGGCCTGTTGGTCCGAGGGAGGAGGCTGCGTTGCGAGGAAGGAGAATAGCAGGAGCCTCTGCCACTGTAGAGACGCTTAGTTGTATGATTCTACGCCCATTCTCAAAATGTTATACGCACGGTAGCGTTCATGGTATTATTATGAGTAGTAAGAGCACCGATCACGTTCGTCTGGCGACATGGCATCAGCTCTGTGTCTACGGTAGAGAAGGCGCTGAGAACAATGACATACATTCACTGGCGGTGCGATCACGGGCGTCATGTTGACGAGTATCCCCGACTGCCGTCCTGGCATCCTTCTCGACAGCCAAGTGGGATCGTAGTTGACAGTGTCGGTCATGTCAGCGTAAAGCGTGGGCGGTGTGAATAAGAGGGCGGGAGAGGATGGGGGGCAGATTAGAGCTGGGTTATGCGAAATGATACGGACTAATATACGACGGGAGCCTACAACACGTGTAGCATGCGGCCACAAAGGGCCAAAGGGATTTGCGCCCCTTTCATCGTTATCGGGGTTGGCCATCAGTTGCTAGCTTCTCTATTATGCTCATGTAAGTAGGTCATCTGCCTCGCTTGTTGGCGCGATGCTCAGATCTTGCGCGTCGGGCAGAATCGGCTGGCCCTGCCGCCCTGTGGTTTGACTGCAAATCGCTAGAAAATTTCCGTCTGATGGCGATTACATCCGACATGACTTGCGTCTTCGGGTTGGACAATTTTCTAGAGCTGTAGAGTGCCATTACGGTGTGCGCGTTGCTCCTGCTTTGCGTCGTGCCAGATTACGCCCCTGTGGTACAGCATGCCATCTCAGGTAGAACGAGAAAAATCGGGGTGAGCTGCAGTTAAGAGTGCATTTACAAGAGATACACTTAGAATACACGTAGTTCGTGGCATCTGTCTCGATGTAGATGTCCTCGTGTCCACGCAAATGTCGAGGAGCACGTCTTGGAGAGACCACGCGTGTAGAAAAGGCACGTGAGCGCGTTTGATGGACTCGGCACCGCGGCAGCTGCCAAGCGCGGTGCAGGTCCAGGCAGGTCCCCATCATGTTTATACATTCAGGTCTAGTTATTTTTTCAAGAGCAAGAGAAAGCAAGAGATGTCATAGATGCCTACTGGTGTCGAGCAAGCCCGCCTACAGCAAGGTCTAGCAATCGCGCCAGCGAGAGAAAACCAGCGCGATATTGCGCCCCGAATGCATGATCATGTCAGACCCGGGACGAGTTCTCTCAGTATGAGTTCAAGTTTCGTTGTGGTTCCTTACTAGATGGAACGGTCAAATAGAGCTGTTCTAGGCGCCGACGCGCCAGAATCTAGAGCATCGTACACGTAAAATTCACATTCTCAGTCAGTACAGCCTATGCGTCAGCTCGCTTCTCTTAGCCATCCTCTTCCGGAATCTGCGATGAATCTACGCGATTGTGATCCCCAGCGCCTCAGCGACAAGCAGCGCGCTTTTCTCGCCAACTGCAACGGCAGTCGAGTACGTGTTCGCGCCGACGTTCCCAGGTACGATCGACATGTCGCAGACCTTGACGCCCTGCGTCCCGTAGACGTTCAGCTTGCTGTCGACGACCCCACCCACTGCGCGCGGCTTCATCGCGCATGTGCCGAGCGAATGCCATGCCGTAGAGACTGTTCACAACATCAGCATCTTGATCTATCAATAATGGGAAGTGGAGACTACACACCGAATTCGCGCGTGTACTTCTCAATCGCGGCATCGTCTTCGGTAGAGTAGACGATGCGCGGCGAGTCAAACGGTACAGGACCTTCCGCCTTCTCGATGAGCGCAGCAGGCGAACCCTCTGCGAACGTTGGGTGAAGGCCCTTGACCTCGCCACGGAAGCCCTCCATACGTCGCGCAATCTCGCGCGAAAACTTGTAGCCCCAGATTAACGGGCGTACATCAGCCATGCTGCGAGGTGGTCAGCGTTGTGCGGAAGAGCATGTAAGGGGATAAAGAGCACCTTTCAAGGAATCCGGGGCGGAAGTCCGTAGGTGCAGACACATCGTCCTTGTGCGTAGCGTGAACATGTCCCCGGGCAGCGGGATACTGGTTGTAGTACCCTAGGCAGAAGTACTTGCCGTACGGGACGCTACTCGGGTCTCCGAAGAGCCTGTGCAGGCGCATCAGCCTGCTGTGCTTTGCTACGCCACGTCAAGGGCTGCCACGTACACGGCCAGCTCTCCCATCCAGAGCACAGGCTTATCGGGGCGTGGGAGGAAGTACTCCTTCCAACGAGGCGCAAACTCTGGTCCGAATGCCTCTAATTCTTCGGGCGTTGGCCGCATCTTGACACCGCCATCAATACCACTGTGCATAGCATGAAGCGTCAGAGCGCGCATCATACATAGCGAGCTCCAAGACGTACTTGTGAGCGAGCATGCTTTGGCCGTTCTTGTGCCATTCCTGAGCAGCCGCTTCCATTTTGTCCGGCTCGTTGCGGAGGACGAAGTCGAGAGTATCGGCGTCATCAGATGTGCGGTAGGGAACGAAGCAAACGTTGTGATCTACCGAGAGAGATCACGGTCAAAGGCATGCATAGGTTGAGCGAGTACGAGGATCGTACCTTGGTAACCCTCGCCGACGCCGTCAAGTTCGACTTTGATGGGAACGCCGATCTTCTTGAGAACGTCTGCGCGTCCAACGCCGGAGCGTTCGAGAACACCGGGTGAACCGAACGTGCCTGTAGAGACGACTACGAGCTTCTTCGCGCGCACGGTATGTACGTCGGTATCAGCGTCTGGGAGGAACTTCTTGTTCCACGTAAACTCGACACCGGTCGCCTTGTCCCCGCTGCATGACAGTTAGCGCCCGGCGATGAATTGGATGACAATGATGGATCGCACTCGAATGTCAGGCGGCGTACGTGAGTGGCGGTCACAATGTGCATCCCTGGGAAGTCGCGATTGTAGATGTAGCAATGGGGGACGTCGGAACGGTGGCCGTTCTCATTGTTGATCCACTTCTGCCAGCGGCCATACGTGTTGACAGTAACAAGGTCGTTGACATCCGTGTCCTCGTCGCCGGTAGAGCGAGCGGTGTCGAACTTGCGCGCAGTGGCGAGATAGTCCTTGCCGACCGAGATGTACTTGCCGCCCCATGAGACCTTCAGCGGACCTGCATCGCCGTGGTTGAGTGCGTCCTTCTTGATCTGGTACGTCTCCGCCTGGAGATAGAGCGGGTCAGTATATCGGCAAGCGATGATCTGCATAGCGCCACAGCAGAACACCGGGCGAAGTGTACCTTTTGCATAAGCGGGATAAGGTCCTTCGACCCCCAACCCGGGTTGGAGTACATCTGCTCCCAATCGTCGTAGTCGCTAGCTGCTCCGCGAGTGTACATGGCGAAGTTGACGCTGGAGCCACCTCCGAGGCATTGTCCTGCCGGCGTGACAAATGTACGATTGCCGAGTGCGGGTGTGGGTTCGGCGACATGGAAGCGAACAGTGTTGGCCGTCGGTGCGAGATGATGGAGGAAGCGAGCAGGTTGTACGTGGCTGAGCTGGCCTTGAGTTGGCGGGCCCGCCTCGAGTACCAGAATGGATAAATTCGGCTCAGCAGACGCAATGCGAGACGCGACGATCAGGCCGCAGGTACCACCGCCGGCGATGACCAGGTCGTACTCGGGTGCGACAGAGGGTGTAGCGGACATGGTGACGATTGAAAGAATGGCAAGAAGTTTGCCTTCGTGCTTCTTATAGCGTTGGCGTATGCTCGCCTGAGCGAAGCATCACGGCCGGATGGAGACGAGACGGTCAACTGTTACTACCCATCCGTGCCCGAGCGTGCCCGACGGCTTGGGTGGCATGAGACGTCCGCTGGGATACAGGCTCGCGCAGATGGTCATTGTGCACCCCGATACTCTTTACGGCTTCGAACATCCGCCTCTAAAGCCGTACAATTGCCAACCTGGAGGTCCATCGCCTCGTACAGAGTTCGCATTTCCGTTTAGGCGGGAGGCCACTGTGAGTTCAGGGTACGGCTATCCATCAGAAGAAGTCGCGACAAGCTAGAACTCAAAAACATGCAGGCGTCAATCTTCTTGGGCGCTTCAGGTCTTTGGCTGTGAGCAGACGACATGGGCGCGACGATCAACTTGACAAGCGCGCAGCAACGGCAGAGAACCTGAAGATACCGACAGTGGCGTCGGACCTAGGATCAATGGAAGCAGTGGAGAAATGGATTGGCTGCTTGGAGAACCCCGTATGTATACGTTCAGAACCGGAGAAGCTGAAGAAGTTAGACTGTTACTGGAAACCGCCGAGCTGCCCGGGTGGGAAGTATTCAAAATTGGGCTGACCATGAGCCGTACTGAGGTGTACATCCAATTGAGAGGTGTGGTACTAGGGCGCCGAAAGTCATCGCGATGGTCGCTGGTAGAAAGCAACGTCACTTCGGTGAGGAGGGTAAGTTGGAGAACGCCCTCGTGACTTGGCTTCGCCGCGCGCTGATCGTCGCGTTCAGTCAGCGCCTCGTGCGGTGAAAAAAATGCCTCTTTTCAATGGATTGAATCTCAACTCGACCAGTACTCATCTGTGTGCATTAAGGGGGAATCGAACCCCCGGCGGGTCGATGGCAACGACCCAGGTTACCACTACCCCATTAATGCGCATAAATGTCTCTTAAGGAGTGAGTTACTATTTCCAATTGCTTAGTGATCGATCGTCCCGCCAAGGTTAGCAGCGGATAGTCTTGCGGTGAAGCTGACCTGAGATACCAGACTTTGAGACGTAGCATGCGTGGTCGAGTGCGCGTGTACGTCTGTATATGTGAGTGGGCTCGGCAATCGGCGCTGTCACACATGAGGGAACGGCGGAGGAAAATGGGCTGGTTGCAACCACCATGAGGTCGGTGGTGGGTATTCTTTATGAGTCTCGCACTATTTTGGCTCACTATGCGAATGCCGATATGCTGCTGTGGCCAATCAATCTGCCGTGGTGGCAAAACCCAGGTGGGGCACTTGTGTCCGTGATTGACACGTAGGCGGCGCTCCTTTCTTCCTCAGGATTATCCTCTTTCCCTCTCCGCCACGAATCGCGCTTACCAGAATGGACACCTACCAGCATCTGGCGCCTACTGGATACACGACATCTGTCAACCTGTAAACGAAATGGCTGGTGTTAGTGTTCGAACGCCTCGAGCCTCAATTGCTACGCGCCGGCGCGCTTCGATAACGCCCGAGCATCGACTTGCGTATATGCGCTTGGACCATCGGACGCTTCAACTCGTCGAGATCGTGTTCCAACACCTCGATCCACCGAAGATACAACAAATCGCATGTTTCATTCAGTGTAGCAAGTTACAAAGACGAAAATATGGAATCAAATCAGTGCGCGTACAGTCCCTTCTTTGGCTTCATTTAACTGACGTGCTTTCCCCAGCTCACTTCCCGTCGTACGCTCTAAGCGCACCTAGCAGGCGTGAATCCCCTCTCCCATCGACCACTCCCCCAATCCCATGCCCCCGTTTCCACCGAAGTCTTGGTCGTCGTCGTCGCGGCGCTTGTGGATGCCCGAAGGCGGTGCATCGGGAAGGCTAACGTCCTCCTCGTCATCTTCATCCGGGAAAACACGGTTATTGGGGTCTTCGTGGCGCGCCTTCCAATGCCTCTTGAATGAGTCCCCACGCGACAGCAGCAATCCGCAGTGAGGGCACTTGACACCGGCTTGGTCGTGCGCGCTCGCCATGTGGCGAAGCATCACAAACCTCCAAGAAAAGATAGGCTCGCCCGCCTTGTTCTTCCCCGCCTTGGTCTTCTTCTTAGGCACGCACCCTTCGACCTTGCACGTCCGGAGGTCTTCAGCCTCGGGCCCACTGTGCTTCTTGGTTGGTTTGCGCTTCTGGGCCGGTCCGCGCTTCTGGGCCTGGCCGCCCGACTTCGCCGCCTTCTTCTTCGTTCTGGGGCGCGACAGCGTGGTTCTGCCTGCGCCGGTTGACCGGGCACCTCCCGTAGGAGCGGCGCCGGTCGATACTATGATGTCGAGTACCAGGTCTGCGCTGGAGGCGGCAGCCTGGTTTGTGGTGTATGGCTCGTTGCGCCTCTGCGAACGAGTATTGCGACGATGGACGCCACCTGGATGGATGTGGTCAGGTTCGTGCAGATCCGCTCGACGTAAACGAGAGCGTATACCTTGTGGCGCCACACCTGCGCTGGTGATGGACGGTCCTGGGTTTATGTCGAGGCCCTGCAGAACACTTACGTCGATACTCGCTGCAGGCGGCGGCAACGGCGGCATTTTCCACAAGCCCAGCTGTGCCGTGAAGTCTACGGTCGGAACGTCCGAGCCGATAGGATATGGCGCGTTCGTGCTGTAAAGGTCCTGCGCCATCGGGCCACCAGTGTCAACAGGTCCCAGCGAGACACCGCCTACCATGCACCCACGTCAGCGCGCCGCACGGCAGACTGTAAATGGGACGCGTACCTTCAAACATATTGAAGGGCAGATGCGCAAACAGACTAGGACCATACTGGCCCTGCACCGTAGACAGGAGAGAGTCCTGTGCCATCGGGCCACCGGTGTACATGGGATCCAGCGAGACGCCGCCTATCGTGCGTCCATGTCAGTGCGCTGCACGGCAGACTGATTGAAACGCGCACCTTCAAGTATGTTCAAGGGCAACTGCGCAAACTGTCCAGGACCGTGCTGATCGTACACCGTAGACTGGATGGATGCGTATCCGTTGCTGCCCATGGCGGTCGCGTTGTGGTTGGCGTTACCGTCGCCGACCAGCGAAGAGGGCGGGAACTCGTTCGCACCCCAGGGCGATTC